AACAGTCGATGTCGGTGTCGGCGAGTTCTCTGGTGACTGCCTGGTGTGTCAGGGCCTTAAGCCTTCATGGACATTTAATACAATGCCAAACACATGCAGTGAGGTACGTTACATGAACATCATCTTAGCAACCTTCTTGTTTTTAAAGTTTGCACAGTTGTTGTGCATGTACAGAATATGTTGGCTTCAAAATCAACCAAGCATGCAGGCCAACAAGCAAACAAAGAATATAAATATGTAAATAACCTGTTGTGGTAAGTCAGTATCAGCAAACTTATCAAATAACATCAGTGCTGTGGCAGTTATTGTCTGAGACCTTTCTTCAAATGTGGGAAAACAGAACAAAGATACAAAAATGGTGTAACTACTTTGACATTGTCTCTAAAAAAATAACATCCTCATGTGGCCAGACATTTTTGTAAATGGTGTGTCTGCAGAGTTGACCCAGAAATCCTCAGAATCAGAAAACCTTTATTGGTCCCACAGCGGGGAAATGTACAACTGGAACATTATTACCTTTATTTATGGACCTTCCACTGGGGAAATTCCTGCCACATATTTCTCTGAATCACAATAGCCTCAAAATCACACTAGAAGTGTTCATCTAAAATGATATGCATTCATTTCCAGTCAGTACATCCAATATTTACAATGGAGTCCACATTAGGAAAGCCACACTCGTAGGACAGGTTTCTCGACTAGAAGAAGTAAACATGATGGATTTGGTTGATGTCGAGAGTGTCCGATAGCAGGGATGTTTGTTTGTTTTGTTATGACACGGTTCAGCTACTCTTGTCCTGTGGGCACGAAACCGACATGGAAATGATCTCGTCCGTGTGTGTTGTGCTGCCTGCCTGGCTGGTGCTTTCTCATTGATCTTCCTGTCAGAAGTGCGCAGATACATCAGCTGTACTCTAATATGGAACAATAGATGTAGGATATGTTGGTACTTTAAAGTGGGAAACAGAGGGTATGACAGGGATCTACTTGTTCTGTGCAAAGCGATGCAATCTAAATATGTGAAGCTTGAGGCAAAGACACTAAAAAGATGGAATAGATAACTATTTATTCTAGAATATGAAACGTGGTCTATATTTTCCTTTAAATTATAAACAGGGCCTAAAAATAACATTCACAAAAGAAAATGTACTTTAAAAGAGAATATGCAAGGGAGGCCAATAACCTAAAAGCTTATTTAGATGAAGACAAACATGTATTTAAAATCAAAAATACATCAAAACTAAAACTGAACCATTTAGGCAGGCTTTCCATCTGGTAAACAGCCTTTTATTCCAATTAGAAAATTCATTTATGGACAAAAATGTCAGTTTATAAAACAAAAGGACAGGAAGCTGTATGAAACTTGAAAATCAATAATGAATGCATTATTTAATTCTTAGGAGAGTGTTTATTTTTCACAAATATGAAACTATTCCTTTAAAGAAATAACAAATAATAACATGTTTTTGATATAATAACTTCGTTATCCATGTTTTACATTTCTAAGATTACTTTTTAAATGCTAAAAATATGTTTCAGTCCATTCCAATCACCTGAATCTAAATCTTCATGCCTTTACAGTAATTAAGTCTAGTTGAGGTTTATGTCCAGCTGTGCACGGTGGGACAGTCTGTGTACTCAACAGAGGAGGACATTTCACCACACGATTAACTTTGACATTGTGAATATTTCTACACCCATACACATGCCAAAAAAGTGTTGTTCAGTTCAGAAACATAATCAAGTGGTTTTTATTTGTTAACATTGTGCTCAACATTTCCCAGCACTTGAGCAGCTCTAATTCCATGTCAAGATTACTGGAACTGCAAATAAGAGAGGGGACAACAGAAAAAGAGGAAACATCAGATCAATGCAGTAAAAAGAGAAGCAGAGTGCTGCGGTGTTAGAAAAGGCACATTACTAGTTTCACACACACTAAAGAGTCATGTCGTATTGTGGTTGTAGTTTCTTTTTGAACAGAAACTTGAGTTTCGGTGAATTAAGAGGATTTGAGCCCAAAGAGTTTGGGAAAAGCAGCATCAGGGAATTCACTGTAGAGAGCACTTCAGGGTACTGTGCTTCTGACTTGAATCAAATCAGTGGAAATGACGAGCTGTATTACTGTATGTGTGTCATGTGTCTGTGATGTTTTACAGATGACTAACAGGTGACTGATGACGTGCTACCCACTGACAGCACGGGCAGAAAATAACATCTACAATATTTATCAGTGTTGATTTGATTCCTGAAAATGTTTCACAAGTGTTTCACAACTCTGATCCATGAACATACACTTTACACTACACTGGCATGTACTTGTAGTTCTGTACAGGAAGTGCACATTTCTTTATGGTGTGACCTGATGTTTTGTTCACCTACAGTACGATGAATTAGCTTCTCAATCTACCCTCATGCAAACACTAAACAGCATATGTTGATTTGTTGTCCTATGTGCAAAGAAATCACACGTAATGTGTTATATGCATCACACCTTGCAGAGTTGTTTTTCATAGTACTTCAAATAGTGTTAAATATCTTACAAATTTGAGGTGCTACTGTTCTAATTTAGAGTTTTATTTTAAATGTTTCTGTGTTTCTTTATCCCTGGTCTTTTAAATATATATGTCATTAGGTGCAATACCTGCGATTTTAAGGGGTTTTCAGAGGCTGAGGGGATTTTTTAATTCTAACTCTATTTAAACTCAGTGTGGTTATGTCCACTGCACTTGTGGGAATTGGGCAACTTGTATCAACCTTATGGGAGTTGAACTCTAGAATCAACATTTTAAGGATCTTTTATATTTCTGATTCCAGTATTTGAAATTTGAAGCCAGCAAAAAAAAAAATAATTGATTATTTCTCAGCCAGTGTTTAAATTCTGCCAATGTAGAGAGCTCTCACTTGTATTCATTTTAGGATTTTACACTCTTGAATCCAGTCTTTCAAAAACAAATGATATTGGCAGGCATGCATAGTCAAAATGAACAGGCCTGTTTCCTGTACACTGACCAATGGAAGAAGCTCTCTGAAAAAATGTGACAAAAGGGAACATTTTAGTCAAAAGCACAACCTCAGCAAAACTTAGAGATCAAGCTATGCTCAAGGCATGAATTGGCTGAGATGAGAGACAAAAGGGGTTCCTATCAACATGTTTCCGGCAGTGGCTCAGTAAGTAGCGGCTTGGACTGGGAGCTGTAGGGTTGCCGGTTCAAGTCCCCGACCAGACCTAAAATGTGGAGTGTGGACTGCTACTTGGAGAGGTCCCAGTTCACCTCCTGCCCTGCCGTGGTGCCCTGGAGCAAGGCACCAGACACCCCCCTTCCCCCCTCACTCCCATTGCTCCCCGAGCGCTGTACAATAGCTGCCCACTGCTCCTAGTACTAGACTCCTGGTACTAGGATGGGTTAAAAGCAGAGGCCAAATGTCACTGTGTGTGCTGTGTGCTCTGCATGTGTGACCATTAAAAAAAGAGGGTTTCATCCCTCCCAATTCTATTCTATGTTTCGTGGTGGAAAAATACAACTTAATAAGGTTAACAATTTAAAATACAATTTAAGTCATAAACTTTACTTTAGGTGACCTTGACTGTACTGTACTCCTGGTTAAAATCACCATTTAAACATCACCTTCAGAGTTTTAGTCCACTCTCTAAAGCTGGTCCTATAAAATTATCTTTGGTCGGTTTTAAAAGTCATGCATGTGGCTTCATGAAACTTGCTTTTAACCTACTGCAGGTCTACCTGATGCAGCTTCCCTTCAGTAAAGTGTGGAAAATAGTACGTCTACACAAAATAACAGGAAAATGAGGAAGTCAATATCCCAAGGACTCACATATTTATACCTATCATTCTCACTGTTGTTGCTGCAGCTCTGTGCATGTGTTTGCAATGGAGAGAGTATTTGCAGACAGGAAGTGATTCTGATTGGCTGTGAGCTGCAGCAGTGCCTCGATGCCATTGGTTCAGGCAGGTGGTGCTGTCTCTGACTCATTTCCCACGGGAGGGAAGGAAACCCTCTAGTCAGCTCTGCAGACAGCCTCCCCCTCAGATAAATAATTCATCTCACAACGTGTGTGTGTGTGTGTGTGTGTGTGTGTGTGTGTGTGTGTGTGTGTGTGTGTGTGTGTGTGTGTGTGTGTGTGTGTGTGTGTGTGTGTGTGTGTGTGTGTGTGTGTGTGTGTGTGTGCGTGTGCGTGTGTGGCTGAGCCTTGATGAGCACTGTGCCTGTCGTTTGTGTGTATTCTATCTGCTTTTTAGTCCCACCACTTCTCAGTGCTGTAGGCTACTGTATTCTGAGCTGCTTTTACAGTAAGAGCAATAATGCGGGGGAGGGCCTCCCGGAGATTCACCGTTTTTGAAGCGTAAATGATGTGTTTAAGGTCACAGGATCCGGGTGGATGAGCGTGGAGGTCAAACGCATAAAACACTGTTATTAGACAAGACAAGCTCAAAGTAAAATACTCCTGAGAAAACTATCGGAAGGTCAATTTGCATCTGGATCACATATCTCTTCTTTGGACCTCCACGATGCAACATGCTGACAACAAACTATCGTTATTGCATGTTAAAGTTTACTACTGTAGCAAAGATATGCATGTCAGACATATTGGAGACTGGTAAAACTGTCATAGTTATGTATATTTTCAGCTTGCCAATCTTAAATTATTCAGAAATCAGACACCGGAAAGACAATGATTGCGTATTTCCAGAGGATTTCTATTTTTCAACAGCCTTGGTTGACACACCTCAAAGCCATTATTTGGATACCTCCCCTGGCACACCTTATTTAGCTTAATATCTTTTTTTAGATCATACCAAGATGCATAAAAGTAATCTAATCAGAAAACAATTGTATTTCAAACACACATAAAATATGTTTGCCAGTGTCTGAAGTTAGTATTCAGAGTCACTCTCGTAACATGGCTACTACTGTACATAAACACAAACAGTGGCTAAATGTTTACAGAAATGATAAGTCAAAGAGTTTCCTGTGTCCCGCAGAGCTGAGTTCCACCCTGATGGAGAAGATGCAGGCCCAGGAGATAATGAGCGGCCTGAGGATACCGGAGATAGCCGAGCTGGGACAGTTCTTCAGCACTCTGCCGACCTCCACGCTGGTGGGCATCGGCGCTCTGACCGCCGTGCTGGCCTACTGGTTGGCTACCAGACCCCGCCCCATCAAGGCCCCCTGCAACCTGCAGCACCAGTCTGAGGAGGTGCCGGTAAGATGGAGCACAAATGTATTCATAGATGCATGCATAAGTAAGTATAGGGTCATATGCAGAAATGCTGACGACATGCATGAAAGTTTCACACTCATCTGCATGCAAGTGGATCATTCGCACCTTACTTCTTGTTCTCTTAGGCCTAGGCTCCACGGGAACGAAAACGGGTTGAATCCGCATATTTCTCATGCGTATAGCCCTTTAAGCTCGACGACGCCGTAACGGAAACGTAGAAACAGACCCTGCAAACGACAACGGGTCCAAAGGTGGATAGATCTGGGAACGGAGCGCTCTGGGGGGTCCAACGGGGCCGTGGGGTCGCCTATACGGTCATCCGTTTCTGATAATGACGACGCAATAGCCCCGCCTCTCCCCGCCTCTGCTGCTCACCCCCGCAAAAGTACACTGCACACTGAATTCAGATTATTTATCTTTATCTCGATATGGACATAAACGCGAGTGAAGTCTAATCTGACAGGACGGAGACACACAGCTCCTCCCGCTGTGATGCAGCGGGAGCAAAACACACACTTCAAGTCAGATCATCACCCTTAGCTATTTTAATTACCTCTCAAACTACCTAAACTAGTTATAAATATGTTTATTTTTACTGTCGGGTCACTCATTACAGGATCAGCTGCTGCATGAGACAGACACTGACGCTGTCAGAAGAGAGGAAAAAGAGACAGGCTCCGTGTATTTTATGATTATATATCATTATATCGTCGTTATTCATTTGTTTTAAAGCTCAATAAATAACAATGAAGACCTTTGACCGGCACTTTTATAATTTTGTCCGGAAGATTTAAACTTTAACACGCGTTGACCGGCGAAAAACTCTGCCTGGTTCCGTCGGCCCCCACCGTGGAGAATAAACAGAAGTGCAGCCATGACAACCATTCTTCTTCGCTGCTTTTGTGGAGGAAGTTGCTGCTTTTGTGGAGGAAGTTACAGCGCCACGTACAGGCTCGGCATATGTACTGCAGCTTTTCCAGCGGTTGGATGTAAACGGAGCCGTCTCGTGGAGCTTGACACAATCCGGTGTATATTGCGTGTGGGCGGAAGGTTTTTTGCGGTTGCGTTTGCGTTACTCCGATGCATTTTGCCGTATGCGTTCCCGTGGAGCCGGGGCCTTACTATCCGTTTTTTGCTCTCAAATAAACATCCTGGCATTATTGAAGTTCAACACAACTGATATTTCACATATATACATGTTTGTTTGAGAGATTTTGATAATAAAATGGATTACTTTGCATGTGATGGCTCAAAACACATCAGTTTTGATCAGCAGGCCACATGCTAGTGGTTATTCTGCAAATTGTAGACACACACACACACACACACACACACACACACACACACCCACCCACAGTGTGATTTATATGTTCTCAGGTGTGGCTGGCAGCATGTGTTGGAAATTAGAAACTCCTTTGAAATGTTTTTAGTGACTGTGAGTTTTGTTTTTTTTGGTAACCTGACTTTGTGTGTCTGACAAGCACACACATGCATGCAGAGAGAAACGAAAACACACCTATGAGACACAGGAAATGATATGAAGCAACTTTGTCTGCACCAATTTGTGAGGTGACAAAAGAGATCATTCGGAGTTCAAGGAACACTATTTTCTTCTTACTCTCCCTTAGGGTTTTGTAAACGTGGTCTCTATGATGGAGAATTTGATATTTTTGGGATTTCCTGGGTAAATTTAGCTTTTAGTTTTGACACAGTGTGCGGTGAAGATTTATGGGGTCATACTGTCTCTTTGTCTCTCTCTCTCTGGTTACGGCAGCATGAAAATGGAGGTCGCAGGTCCATGTTGGGCGACAGCTCCAAGCTGCTTACTCATTACCATGACGACGCCAGGACGATGTACGAAGTCTTCCAGAGAGGCCTCCACATATCTGGTGTGTAGGATGTTAGGGGGGAAATAAGCACTCAACTGTGTTGTGTGATAAAACCCAAAATCATGACTCTGATGCTTGAGGTAAAATGAATCCTCTGGTTGCTGGTTGCCAAGGTGATGACCATCGTTGCTAAGGGTAACAGCGCCAGGGCTCACAACCAGGGAGTATAAAGTGACCAAGTGACTGACTCCCAGTGCAGAGATATTCCTTCCTATTTGAGGTTGTAAAATAGTGGCCGAATGAATTGAATGGTTAGTTACTAAAGCTAGAGCACATCTCAGAAGTATAAGTAAAGCATTTGCTTACAGAGCACGTTACTACAAATTACGTTTTTCAGTCCTGGCTTTTTAGTGGCTATATTCTCCATTGAGTTCACAAGCTATTTGCTAAAGTATGACTGTCAGCTGTTTGGTGTTAAGGAGGTAGAGTACAGTGCCATTCTAAACGTTTTTGGGTGAAAACTACACCATGAGAGCATTGAAAGTAAACCAAAACAATAAAGTTGTGGGCAAACAGCTCACAAATAGACTGATACTCAAATTAAGCTTCATAAGGCCAGAAGATGCTACAGATTTTGTTGATAGTTTTCTGTATGTTTATCCATACAAGGGCTACATGGTATGTCTTCAGGACTTTAGGATCGGTCATACCTTTTCAGTCTGACTAGGGAGTGAACACACACACCAACAATAAGTAACATTGGTTTTGTGGCTATGTGGTTTGGTAATACCTATTGAAATGTATTGATTTGTTTAGAAAAAAGTTAACATCATATAAACCTTATAATTCGGGAACCCCCTTTGATGTTTCACTGTGTGTTCAACAGGTGATGGACCTTGTTTGGGCTCGCGGCTCCCTAACCAGCCTTACAAATGGATATCCTACAAAGAGGTTAGTGCAATTTGAACAATGACAGGTGCAATGAGGAGTGAGGTAAATTCAAAAAAGAGATTTCCAGGTTGCCTTTTTATAGTGGTAATTAAGCTGAATATACTGTAGGTTACTGTTTTTAAATTGTATGTGCAGTCATAATGTCTTTCCTATTGGTAAAACTACAGCATTTTCTATAAAATCCTATCTATCATCATCAGCTTTGTAATGACATTTGACGAGCTATCTTCCGGCCATCCATCCATTTTAGTAACTATGTAATTCGACACTTGGTGTAGTTTGCAACCTGAGTAGCACAGAGGCTTTGTTGCACCAAATCTGCCTAGCAACTAAGCATAGCACCACCATGATGGTCCAATGAAGAACTGCAGTCTGCACCAACCACACTAAATACATGTTGTAGTGTGGGTTTATAGGAAGTAAGTGATGTTATTAGAAAAAGTTAAAACCTGTCAGTTTATCAGATTGTTAACTTGAATCACTGGCTTCACAATAGTATCATGAAACATTGGCTTCTTACCAAAACTAGATTCAAGCAAATACTAACAAACACAAGGCTGAAATAGTGAATGTCATGGAAATTTGGAAATGATTTAAGGGGAATTTCATTTTGAAATCGAAAACGGGTTGTATCCGCATATTTCTCTTGCGTATAGCCCTTTTTGCCACACGAGGCCGTAACTAAACGATAGAAACGGACCCCGCAAACGATAACGGGTCCAAAGGTGGATAGATCTGGGAACGGAGCGCTTGGGGGGTCATACGGCTCCGTGTGATCGCCTCTATACGATCATTTTCTGATAATGATGACGCAATAGCCCCGGCTCTCCCCACCTCTGCTGCTCACCCCCGCGTCAAAGTAAACTGCACACTGAATTCAGATTATTTATCTTTATCTCGATATGGTCATAAACGCGAGTGAAGTCTAATCTGACAGGACGGAGACACGCAGCTCCTCCCGCTGTGATGCAGCGGGAGCAAAACACACACTTCAAGTCAGATCATCACCCTTAGCTATTTTAATTAGCCTACCTCTCAAACTACCTAAACTAGTTATAAATATGTTTATTTTTTACTGTCGGCCGGGTCACTCATTACTGGATCAGCTGCTGCATGAGACAGACACTGACACTGTCAGAAGAGAGGGAGGAAAAAGAGAGGCTCCGTGTATTTTATTATTATGTTATTATATAGAGTCGTTATTCATTTGTTTTAAAGCTCAATAAATAACAAAGAAGACCTTTGACCGGCACTTTTATAATTTTGTCCGGAAGATTTAAACTTTAACACACGTTGACCGGCGAAAAACTCTGCCCGGTTCCCTCGGCCCCCACCGCGGAGAATAAACAGAAGGGCAGCCATGACAACCATGCTTCTTCACTGCTTTTGTGTAGGAAGTTACAGCGCCACGTACAGGCTCGGCATATGTACTGCAGCTTTTCCGGCGGTTGGAACTAAACGGAGCTGTCTCGTGTGAACAGACACTATCCGGTGTCTATTGTGTGTGGACGGAAGCCTTTTTTGCGATTGCGATTGCGTTTGTGTATGCGTTTTCTCGTATGCGTCCTCGTGGGGCACCAGCCTAAATTACACAACCGTCAGTTTTATTGACATCATGTGACTTAACAAGGTAGTGGTGGGTGGAAGTTGTGTTTCTGTTCATTCATTACATTATCATTTCATCATCATTATGATTTCCAGAAAAGTCAGACAAGTCTAGGTTGGAAAAAAATATGCCTGGGCACATTCTTGTTTTGCATCTTCATTTGTTGCCCTAGCACAGTAACATACAACCTGTCTTTCACAATAACTGAGGAATTAGATTTGTTCAGAAATGTTATTGTGTTTTTTAGCTGGAGCATGACATAAAATAAACCCCATGCTGAGGTGAATACTAACCAAATGTATTTCCCTTTTTTACAAAATCATTCATTTGGAAACATGATTACTAAATATAACCAAACAAAGACCAAAGCCCAAATGCTAGGGAGAATTCCTGTTACCCAAGAAAGTAAGAAGCCAATGTTTCAAGAAATTGAAAAGCAGAAGGAAGTTAAAAAAAGTGTTCATGAAGACTGAAAGACAGGCTCAGCATTTGTTTTGTGCCACTTGGTCTAATCAGCGGATGTCCTGCCTTCCCTCTTTATAGGTGACAGCCCGCGCTGAGTATCTGGGTTCAGGCCTCCTGCACCAGGGCTGCCAGCCTGACCCAAACCAGTTCATAGGAGTGTTTGCCCAGAACAGACCAGAGGTGACTCTCAGTTTTTGTCTCGATATCTGTCTGTCTCTGTCTCTCTCTATCCATTCAATGCATTCTCACAATCTCTCTGCTTCACTGTGTCAATTATTGGCTCCGAAACCATTTTACAGATGGTTTCAATCACACAGCTAACCCAAACAAACACACACTCAAAAACACTTGTGTTAGTATCTTCCGAGGAGATCGTTTTTGACTAATTAGCCTTTTCTGTCTTGAAAAGGTTTTGAGACTATAAACATGTCACATAAATAAGTAAGTGAAAGTTTGCTGATATCTCACAGGTGAATGAACTCTAACTCCTGACCTTTGACCCCGGTTTATGTGTGATTTTAGTGGATCATCTCAGAGCTAGCATGCTACACCTACTCCATGGTGGTGGTTCCCCTTTATGACACACTGGGCCCAGACGCCATACGGTTCATCATTAACACGGGTAAGTACACATTACGAAGGCTAGCTGGCAGCTATGCTAACACACACACACAGGATCTTTAAAATGTCTTTTAGCCTTGTTCAGTTTTGAGTTTTAGATATCACAAACAGTCTTAATAAGATAAGCATTGTACATTAGAGAAATTAAAAGACTATAAATAAACAATTAAAAATGTAAACATCTCAAATAGAAATGAAATAGCATTAAAAAATATACATGTTGAAATACAAATTTACAGTAAACTAAATAAAAAGCAGGATATTATATATACATTAAGTGTGTAAGGAATGGAATATTAAATTGAATATAAATGTAAAATGTACAGTGTGAAGAGGTCTTTGCATTGCTGGATTATGGTTTCAAAAATAAATAAAAGGAATGATCTGAAGACTGCACAAACAGACAAGTCAGGCTGCTGAGTTATTAACCTTACATACAGTTCTTATTTGATTTGTGCTGAACTGACCACACATTTTCGCTGAACACCAAATCAACATCTGTGTCTATTTTTCCGCTGATATTCACACAAGGGTGCACGTGCGCTTGTGTGCTTGTTCAAGGTTCAAGGTTCTTTATTGTCAAACTGACATAGCTACAGAGTAATTATGTCATTGAAAATCTTATGTCACAGGCTTCTCCAACAATGCAACATAATAATACAGATAGTAAAAGTAATACAAAAAGAAAAATAGTTCTAAAATAAAGTGAGTATGTGGAATAGTGCAGTACGAGTCTATATACAAGTTATTGGAATGATATATATTAGATAGTAGATATATATTACTAAGTAGCAGATGAATGTTTTGAAACATTCACACATTCTTGTGTCCTTTCAGCTGACATCTCAACGGTCATCTGTGACAAAGTAGATAAAGCTCAGGTGCTTCTGGAAAACGTGGAGCGTAAGGAGACTCCGGGCCTGCGAAGAATCATCCTGATGGATGAATTTGACTCCGCCCTCATTGAACACGGAAAGAGCTGCGGCGTCCACGTGCAGGCCATGCAGGAAGTCGAGGTATGACACGTACAGTAGGACCAGCACAGTTTAATGGTACCTTCACTTGACTGATATTTAAGTGTTTTAACCTAGCATATTCTGATGCAACTTTCCATCCTTTAGTGTTAATCAGATATATATATATGTTTCCTGCACTCTAGTTTCATTTAAGCACAACGCAATATGTCATTTTTATCTTCAATCTTCAGAAATGTCATTATTATGTATCGGCATCACTCATTTTGTGTCCGTCACGGAACAGGCTTCAAACAAACAAAATCTGTGCAAACATTTACTTGTAAATGCAAACTTAGATAGACATTTAATGTTGTCCTACAAACATTAACACATTTAAGGTTAAATCGTTTTTTAGGATTTATATGTCTTGTCTAGAAAATGGTAAACGTGTCTGTTGATTGTAAAGTGTTATATATTTACAGGGACTGTTGCAAAACCGAAGTAACTCATAAACATCAGGGTTAAAATGGAGAAGATTTTTACCTTAAAACATAGTGGGATTGTGTAGAGGCCGGATTTGAGTGTGGCCTATATTTCATCTGAAATTTAAAGGTATAATGAAGCAATGCTTTTTTCTTTTTTTTCCCGGTAAAAATCCAGAATCTCAATGGAGCACAAGCTTCAACAGCCAGTCAAAACAAACTGATGTTGAGATTTGATCAGCATAAGATACAAAAAAAAGTTGTTTATCTCTACAGTTAGTCTCTCGTTCTACAGAATCTGAAAACTGGGGATTTCACATGCACAGTATCATAAACAACAACTCCTAAAAGTTACAAAACAATAGACATGGGTTGTTATGCGACTATGCCTTATGTGGATTCATTTATAATAATTTGACTGCTGTTTTCATTCCTGTAACTGTGAGTGCTTGGAGAGCACAATCACAACAAATATGCAGGCGAAAGTGTTCAAACAGCTAACAGCAGTCACAAAGACAAGCATAAAATACTTGCAAATGTTTTTCTTTTTTTCTTTCCTGCCAACACATCACATAGACAAAGAGTGAGCGAAGAAAAACCCTTTGGCATGCTTTCATAAAATAAACAATGATGACATTACACTGAGTTGTCAGGAAGCTTGGCATACATAACCATCATTTTTCTGTGATGATTAACTTTAAATGAACTGTGCCAGTGTGGTAGACACCCACCTCTTCTGGTTTACTAGGTGACTTAAAAGAAATGAGGGCATATATTGTAAATCCTGCTGAACAACAGTGAATTCAGTATTAAGAGGAAAAAAGCTGAGGGTCTCAAGAGATAGCTTTCTGAGCATTTTGCTTTCCATCGACATGTGGTCCATAAAGTAACCTTAAAGAAACGGCTGATAACACATTTTAATGTCATGTATGCATCAAAAGTGTACTCCTAATGTTTATTTTTTTCCTGTTGTTTTTTTCTTACAGGCTTTGGGCAGAGAGCATCACAGAAAACCTATAGTAAGTACAAATGAAAGATTCCACTGTAGAGAAAGATGAATTGTATGACATTTTAGAAATCCTACTTGCATGGCTATAGCACTGTTGCTTTGTGACAGTCTTACATTTCTTTGTTCCCAACAGAAATATCTCAACAACTAATCAATTAAATACCATAATGTCTTCTACAGACATTCATGTTCTCCAGAGGATGAATTGTACTCTGTGTTTAATGCAAATCAGGACTTTGTTAGCATGCTAACATGCTACATTAAGATTGGTGAACATGTTAGACATCATACCTTCGACACACTAGCTTGTTAGGATTGTATTTATGAGCATTAGCATTTAGCCCAAAGCACCGCTGAGCCTAAGTTAAGCCTTACAAAGCCGCTAGCAAGGCCGTAAACTCTTAGATTGTTTTGACTTTAAACAAACATAAGTCACCATTCTTTGTGTAAAATCTTAACTTGGTTTACAACACATTGCTTTTTAGAGCCTGTAAAGTGATTATAGCAATAGTTTCAACATCCTCTTATAAATAAATAGAATATGCTGTTGATTCGCTGTTATTACCAAAATAAAAACATGTAAGACATTTATATCATGTAATGTAAAGTGTAAGTTACATTTTGCTGGCTCAACAGTGACAATTCAGCCAAGACTCTTGCTACTGGGTATTAGCCAGCTTAGCAAGTATTACTCTCTGTTTAAACATCACAGAGAGACATACTTTAAATAGTGAGCACACTCATTTAACTAAAGAAACAGCTTTGACAGTGTTTCTGGCAACACAGCACATACTACTGTTGGTATGATGACAGAGAAAGGGGCCAGAGCAGATGTCTATAAATACAGTTTGTGCAAACATGTGAAAAATGGAATGATATTTATTCTAAAGGTGAAAGAAGTAGAAGTTCATTTGATGTTATGTTAGAATGAAATGTCATGTCTGACCAACACCATTTTGTCTCCTCAGCCACCAGCGCCAGATGACCTGTCCATCGTGTGTTTCACCAGTGGAACCACAGGTAATCTTTCAAGTTTTAAAGGCTTATTGTCATAACATATACAAAACTATGGTGTAATTATGTAATGTGAACTTAGATCACAGGTTCCTCAACAATGCAATACAATAATTAAAAAAACAACAACAATACAAATACAAATAGGGGGGTGGGGGTATTCCTGTACATCCCCATGCAAAAAGATCCCATACTGCACCAACACAATGTGCCCTAATATAATTAGCCAACACCCACACCAAGGTTTCCCTTGCCAGCGTGACTCCAAGCAATGTTTTTCACTTAATTACTGCACCTACAGTATTTGTTTACAAAGAGATTATAATGCTGTTCCCTTAAAGTCCAGTCAAACATTAGTGTGCTCTCTGATTCATAATCATATACGCTCTTGTGCTTGATGGTTATCTAAGTGTTTGTAATGTGATCATTTAGGTGTATTTCAGAGTTATCAAAGATGTGTTTGCATAGGAAACTGCAGAGCTGGAGAAGTCAGACTTGTGGACAGGTCACCAATGAATTATCTGTTATTTGGTGCTGTCATTGAATATATTTATCACTTTTTGACATATAATATGCACTTATTGCTATTTGGAAAAATACTAAAAAAATGTAAATAATGTTTGATGTGGCAAAAAAATAGAGTATACAGTATGGTTTTTCTGTGTAATGCAATTTCACATTTTCAGCTGGGAAGCTATCTAATTGTTAAGATTATGATCATTTTTAGATAAAAGCGGCACAAATGCTATTCTTGAAGGGGAGACAGGAAGACAAGCATTTACTGTAAATGAATCCAGTTTCTTTGCAGCAGCAGATTGACCTTTTGCCCACTTTTCATTACATAAATGGCCGAATTACGCGGCATGTCGTCTTACAAAGGGCGGCACATACTTTTAAGTAAGGAAGTACGAATGAGTTTTGGGAGGTCTTATCTCTCAACCAACACACATGGGTAAAAAAGGCAGGTCACTTTAGCACACACTGGTGTCAGTTTACAAGTTGAACCAGCTGCAGCTCCAGGCTCACACTCTGCCATCTGCTGGCTTTCAGAGAGTCATGCAGCCATTCTGACATGTGGCACCACTTCCACACATGACTCTCCATTTCTCGAGAATTCCCTCCCTCTGTATTGCAACATGTAGACAGCTCTGAGCCTGTAACCCTCATCTTTTAAAGCTACAGGAATCAGACGATGACACTGGAAAGAGGAACACTTTGTATTGCTTCATATACACCACTTTGTGTGGAAATGACTAAGCAATGCAAAGACATTACATTACCCTGGAAGAAAAATGTTATTATTCGTTCTCTGTTTTTGGAATTGCCAAAAAACTCAAGAATTACATATGATTCAGGGTTTTTCTGTTTAATGTGGAAAGAGAAGTTTATAGAAGTTGCATAATAGATTTCTAATTTTAAACTTCACATAGTTGAGGCCCATTGCTTCAAACCACATTCTGGACATTTTAGAAATGTACCTATTTGAACATGCATTTATATATTTTGAAGAAAATGAATGTATAGAAATGCAATATATTTCCAAATTTGGTTAAATCAGGAATTAGTTTTTAAATTTAAAGTGAGGTATATTTTTGTAAGGTACTTTTTTCAACAGATACACTTCAGTGAACAGGTCACACGTGTGGTTGTTCATCAGGTTTTAAAGTGGGCAAACATTTCAACATTTCTTTGGAATCTATTTAATTTTAATGATATCATATATGTTTCCACATGGTTTGTCAGTCAGAAGCCCTCATTATGTCTTCCCTTAATTATCCCATTATGATTGTACACTTCTACGAATATATAAGTAGAAGTAAAATCCAGGTCAATTCCTTGGAAACACAGCATTGTCTTTCCATGTCTGATTCATTGAATGACAGTTTGGGAGAATTTCACTTAATTAATTTCTGCATTTCTTTTGTCTGCCTTCACAGGAAACCCAAAGGGAGTCATGCTTACCCATGGGAACGTGGTGGCAGATTTCTCAGGCTTCCTCAGAGTAACAGATGTAAGTGACCATGTCTTCTTTTGTCCTGTTCCCTGGACTTTTTATTGCACATTTTTGCTTGGTTATGTATCAGTCTGGTTTAACTGTATGTGTTTTAGAGGTAACTTAATTGTTTCCTTCCTTTCGTTTCCTGCAGAAAGTCATTAGTCCCAACCAAGATGATTGCCTCATTTCCTTCCTGCCACTGGCTCACATGTTCGAGAGGCTCATTGAGGTAAATAAGCTCCACTGGGATATTTGCCCACAGGAATGAGATAGTTATGTGTCAGGGCAGGATGTCAGGAGTGTGGGGGCAGAGGAAGGATCTGTGATGACTTGGAGGTGGGCGTTAATTTGAGATAGTTTGTGTGGGAGGCAGAAAGCAAGGAAGGGAGGGGTTGTGTTTTCCCTTTCCCTCTCCTTTCCTTAAGTTTCGTTTTCCTACTCTGAGGATGAATGCCATTTTTTGCTTTCACAGTCACTGGGGTGCATGTTGCATCATGTACAAAATTACACATACACATGCCAATATACACACAATAAACCACGTTATTGACAAGGCAATTCAAAGGGCTTTACAAACACATTAAAAGCATTAAGACCTAGTGTAAAATAAACTCATTATATATTTACATTAATTATAAAAGCCAAGAAAATGCCAATCATAACAAGAATAAAGAATTAAATAAAATAAAAAATATAAAAAAAAAGAATAAAAGTTACAGTGTAGTGTAAGACATGAATAGTTCTTTGATTTTTTATAAAAGGCAGCAACAAAAATGTAAATAAATAAATTAAAAAGAAGTGAGAGTTGCAGCAGACCTGCAGTTTTCTGGAAACTTTCTTGCAGTTAGCAAGTAATCAGATTCTCATCTATTTTACCTCACACATTTTTTTAACCAAAGCTGGCATATTTAAGTGTTTTTTGCAGGATCATTTGGACTGACTTGACCCACAGTAATGAGAGCATACAGCTATATGCCATTTCAGTGTCAGAATTTCACAAACAGTATACTGTTTAACCGTGCCAAAAACAACTTAATGTTTGTGTTTAAGTCAGAAAGTGCCTAAAAGTTGAAAGTTCCTCCATTTATTAAGCCTTTCTGTCATGCACATGAAACCAGAAATGCCTTTACCCTTAGAAATGTTTAACTGAATAACTGAATTTGTTCTTTAAAACCACAACATTTCAAACTGCATTTCAAAACAAAACAATTAGGAATTGCAGGAAGACAAAATGTGTCATTCGTTGGTGGACAATTGTTCCTCTGGGATACACTGTAACTCACACATGCAGAGTGATATAAGACTCTAGATTCTAGACATCAAAGAAAGAAACAATCTGTGAAGGTTGCTTGCTTCACATTATTTAAGGGTCCTTTTGTGTTTGTGTCCGCTTAGTGATACTTCAAACGAAGGCTCACAATGGCAACAGCAATAATCACTCACATTAAAGCCCACATGGAACACCAGAGCTGCTGTTCAACCTAACGTGCAGCCATTATAGCTCTTCCTGTTTTGTTTTGTTTTTATTATCATATTATCATACCCAGATGCATTGGTAGTTTGGTAGAGCATGTGTCATACATTGTTTTCATACAAGTTTGTTCGTCAGTGGTCAGGGTTTTACAAACAGAAGTAAATATGTGGTTTTAAATGTTTCGCCTTAAGCAAAACTGGTAGTTACTTAGCTTCAGTTTTTCATTTACTGTGAGGTTATTGATTTCACATCAGATGTGTTTATCTACATTTGGGCTAAACATTAACAGCAAAAAGAACAGTTACTCTACAGACAAAGTGGCAGTAAGTTGAATTTGTTTTTCACTTTGAATCTGGGAAGCAAAAATATGATATAAATCAATAAACAATTGAATGAAGTTGTGCTAAGATTGCATTTCTGTCTCTTTAAATGAGTCCTGTTGAAACGTTTTAAAATTCTGTTAATCTAAGGTTATCGTAAGTGGACCAGCAAGTATATGTACATACAGTATATGTGTGTCTATGTGATGTGGGTGTCATGTGCCATGTATGTCTCTCACATCAAAGTAGGTTGCATCAGGTTAAACCGGCCTGGTTTGTTTGCCTTGGATCAGTTTTCAGCGACATGAGACTCAGACACAGGAAACCACCTAAGTTCCTCAGATAGCAGCGCATCAGATCACACAATTGAAGCAAACTTTATGCTCACACACACAAATAATCAAATGCAAACCTCCAATTCTGATTCCAGTGGTGTTGCGAGGCAAAGCAGAGGGGAAACCTTCCGCTTTGCTGTGTCCTCAGATGGCACTTTGTACATTCGTGTTGAGAAGGGTGCTATGTAAATAAAGTTTTACTTACTTACTTACTTATGGCCTCAGAAACAGGAAGTATCAAGTACGGTGCATTTTTTCACAGACGCTTCACAACAAAAGAACTTGTGCTGAGTTAGGCTTTATTCTGAGGAAGTGACACAGTCTGCATATGATCAGTAAAAGGATCAGTGGTGTGGGAACCACTTTGAAAATCAGGCCTACTGAACATACAGTACATTAGTTTTCTTTTGAAATATGTTTTGTATTCTCTTTTGTCAGGTCGTCCACCAAATAGTTGCAACGAAATGTGAACAATGCACATCAGTTTTCTTGGTTGTCTGATTTGTTGGTTGTATATTCACCACTGATCTTCCCTTCCCTGGGGTTTAGGATTTTGAGGTAGAAAGGAGTTAAAGTAGGCATGCCTTTCACTGATGATTATGATTACTGCATAATGAGTCACTTCCGCTGCTGTTAACTTGAGTTTATCCTCTGTGAACTGACATTTCCTCTTAGTGCTTTGTTGCAAAAAGCAGGAAGTTCAACTCAGGTCTTTTCAGTTCACTTCAGAAACCAAAAAGAAGTTGAAGTCACTCTGCTCAAACATTTGAAAAGCTAACATAATACGTAGAAAGCAATGGTAGGAATGAACAAGTCATTTTATGCTTAATTCTCCTCATGCTCAGTTTGAAATAGGAAAATACTGCATATTACATACAAAATTGGTACTGTGAAAGACATTGACTACATACACAAGACATTGACTACGTAGACAATTAAGTTGTTGAAACATCATAAGCAAGGTTCCTTTAGTATGTAAGAGTGATTTCTTTTACAAATATAAAAATAGTTTTCTCTTATCTCTCTTTATTTTGTCCCTAAGGCCCTTTGAAATGGTTGTTTAGAAAAGCGCTATATGAGCATGGGTCACACAAGACTTTATCAAAGAGTTTTATGTTGAATTTAAAAGGATTTAACAGCTGTCAGTGTTAGTATTTGTCTGTAAAAGATATGTGACAGCTAGCGTTAAGCTCACTATCTATGTGTATGTTTCTGCAGTCTGTGGTGTACTGCCATGGAGGACGGATCGGCTTCTATCAAGGCGACATCCGTCTCCTCCCAGATGACATGAAGGCCCTGCGGCCGACCATTTTCCCTGTGGTGCCTCGACTGCTAAACCGCATGTACGACAAGGTGAGATTTAAATAACTGTTGCTCTGCTGGTGGTAAGAAATATAGCTTTTCTTAGATAATTGTACGTATCTTTAAAAAACAATTTTTTTGAAAACGAATGAAATGGCTTATCAGTACCTTTTTGAGTCATGTTGTGATATCTTTAATTCATTATTGTCGTGGTTTAGGCATAGAACGAAGTGTTTCCTTTCAAACATGACAAATGCATCCTCCTGTAATGCATGTTGTGTAATAAAAACCTTTACATTGTAAGAAATTATGTCACAGAGTATGATGTCAGCGAATGAAACAGAGATTTGTTATTTCACTTGTTGATGGGGTTACCTTCTTTCTGGGAATGTTGGGTAATTTTAAATGAACACGTGATTTCAATACTGTAGCAGTAACCAGAAGGGTCTGCCGCCAACCATACAAATATGTAATTTGTCTTTTTCTCGTGCAGATCTTCAGCCAGGCTAACAGCCCATTGAAGCGCTGGCTGCTCAACTTTGCTGCCAAAAGAAAAGGTGCTGAAGTCAGCAGCGGGATCATTCGCAGTGACAGCTTCTGGGACAAAATCTTCTTCAGTAAAATTCAGGTAAGTGTTTCCTCTAACTGAGTAAATGTGCCACTATGAATATCTGTGATCACAAGATGACCAAATCCTGCAACATCAACGTCACAAACTCTGTCTACTCCTCTATGCCTAGAGCATTTTGGAAACGTGTTACTGGAAAATGTGTGGAAATTAATAACAATGAAGGTTTCTGGGCGTTTACCTTCATGAAAATAAAGCAAGGCGAAATGCCAAGAGGAAAAAACTTGTTCCAAAAAATGTGCAACTCAGTGATTGACTTTCAACCTTTGTCAAGCACCGTGTGCATTTTTGAGCTGGGGAGGAAGGGCCAACTTTGAATGCAGTGTTTACAAACCGCAACCAACCAATCCTGCTAATTGTGCGTTTGATAGATACAAATAAAGACCCCTCTGTATTGATTATGATCTCCTCTCTGTGCAGGCCAGCCTCGGAGGAAGACTGAGGATGATTATAACAGGAGCCGCTCCTACCTCGCCATGTGTCCTGGGATTCCTCAGAGCTGCACTGGGATGCCAGGTCTGACAAACATACAAACACACACACAAACAGGCCCGAACCATCACAATAACATAGCCAACCCTACTCTTACTTTTACCAAAACATAGGTTAGTTTTAACGTTAAGCCTACATTCTGTGTAAACCACATTAACACAACTTTGAAGATGAGGACCGACAAAAAATCCCACTACCACAGCCTGAAACTCTAATTGGTCTTCTTAAAGAAATGTGCAACTAGGGCTGGGTAATATACTGATGTTATATTGATATCATGATAGGAGACTTGATATCTTTTAAGATTTCTGATATTGAAATATCGCATGAGTGTAGTATTTTCCTGGTTTCAAAGGATACATTAGTATAGTGTCTTCTTTTTCTAATACCAGACAGTTCTAACTTTTCTTTGACTTGCCTTTACCCAATTAGCCATTGTATCGATAGATAGATAGATGATAGATGATATATAGATATTCTATTGATCCCAAATTGGGAAATGATTTAGTTACAGTAGCAGCTGAGTGTTCAGGCATTAAAAAAACATTACAGTTGGACAAAAGGTATAAACGTGATCAAATAAAATAAAGATATAAATAAAACAATGTTTATATTTGTTCTATCTACAGTAGAAAAAACATGAACAACAAAGAATACTAAATATTAAATGTTCTTGATAAGTTAGACAGTTCAAGGAAAGACCAATATATGTCGGTAGCAGATATATACATAATAGTATATAAATAACAGTGGCAAATATCCACATAACTAATGATAAGTTATCAACATTTTCCTTGTGTTCATACTTTTTTGAAAGCTCCAATTTTCAACCCTACGGTATTTTTGTAACATCAACGTTGAGGTTATTGATCAGAAATGTTGTGATATGTTTTACCACATTGCCCAGCTCTATGTGCAGTGCGGTGCATGCACACATACACATTGACACACATAATTACAGTTGGTGACCTAACTCCCTTCCCACAGCCCTTAATACATCCTGTGTGTGTGTGTGTGTGTGTGTGTGTGTGTGTGTGTGTGTGTGTGTGTGTGTGTGTGTGTGTGTGTGTGTGTGTGTGTGTGTGTGTGTGTGTGTGTGTGTGTGTGTGTGTGTGTGTGTGTGTGTAGGTGTACGAGGCGTACGGCCAGACAGAGTGCACAGCTGGTTGCACCTTCACCACACCTGGAGACTGGACCCAAGGTGAGCACTAGTTTTTATGTCACAGCCCTAGAAAACACATTCTAGGACATTTTTATCTCTGCCAAACTCACTGAACTTGTCAAATTGACTAAAGGCTTGGCTCAAAGGTCAAAAAGTGACATGGTGTTATGACTTTACGAAATAAACAATACCCATGCTGTGATAGTGTCACCTTGTCATTAAACTTCATAGGTGAACTGTTGCTCCCTGAATCCGCATGATAAGAAATGGGGGGTCACAGCTGCTCAGATAATATCGTGCAGGCTATAAAGCCTTATCAGCCCTGCTCCCAGTTTATAAATCACACCCTGTGGAAAATAAGGTGGGCGAGAGTGAGTGGGAGGCTGTACAATACATTGAAAACAGAAAAAAGGAGAGGCCCCTGCTGGGAAAGACCCATAAGAAAGAGCTGTTAGGCAACATTATTAACAGTCAAATACCTGCTTAGGTGTTTGCCAATATCAACACAAAAACCGCCAGTCTACCTCTAGTGTGCTTTGTGCGGCACCTCTAGGCATTGATGGTAATGTTCCAAGTCAACGAGTGTGTATTCATTTGCTGTCTGATCAAGTTATCAGATAAAAGATTTTAAGCTAGAGCTAAAATAAAAGAAACCAGTGCATTGCAATATTTCTTATCTCATATATATATATATATTTATTAGAGCCAGAGTACAAGAAAACCTACCATAGTAAAATACGTTTGTATGAAAGATCCTCATTTAAACGTTACTATTAGCTGCCATAATGCTTCCTTGGTAGCGGTCTCATTGCTGAGTGAAGATGGGTTGAACAAACATTGATGCAATTTGTATCATTGCCTATTCGCCAAAACCCAACCAGGGCAGTCATTTAGAAATGACTCGCATCAAAATACAGTCTAGTGTCTCCCCCTGCTGCCCAGTTCAAATACTCCATCAGGCATTTACATTTCATTGAAAATATATGATTCATCTTTCATCCTTCATTAGTTTTGTTTAAATGTCACAAAATATGTGCAGGTAAAGCATAATCCCTCATGCCATATTTGGTTTCAAATTATCTGGTGAATTACCTATTTCTTAACGTCCAATTTATCAATATTGTTGGTCTGTTCATTATTTTCTGTATTAAATTCATTTAATTCATTCCAACAGTGGAAAGTACAAGGGGGTATCTGACAGTCCAAGATGAAACAAATAAGGGAAACTAAGAAAAAACCCAAAATAAACATTTTATGGGTTTTCAATTATTTTTGCTTGTTCTGACCCTGTGAATTATAGGTCACGTCGGAGCCCCGCTGCCATGTAACCTCATCAGACTGGTGGATGTTCCTGAGAAAAACTACTTCGCCTCTAAGGGAGAGGGAGAGGTCAGTAAAATGATCTTGAAAGATGTTGTATCTTTATAAAAAAAATACAAAGTACTGCCATGTTACTGCAAACAAGGCCCAGATAAGTAATGTAAAACATTATAAAACATTACTAGAGCGTGTATTGTTTATCTTTAAGTTGACATGCAGTGCCCACAATCTATATAATAAAAATGCCATACTAAAAAAGAACATACATTTTATATAAGAATAGGAATGTATTGACCTTTAAAAACCTGTGTTAGGGTTTTAACAGGAGATTCAGTTTATATATTTGACCTCACACCCTGACCATTTTCCACTTGTCTACCATCTAGGTTTGTGTGAAGGGACCAAACGTGTTTAAGGGCTACCTCAAAGACCCAGAGAGGACGGCCGAGACGCTGGACACAGACGGCTGGCTTCACACCGGAGACATTGGCAAATGGTTGCCTGTAAGTATCTCATCTCATTATGAAGACAAATATTTACAATGACACAGCATCTGGATAATGAATAGTCAAGGAATCCCCAGATGTTTCCACCATGTCTTTTCTTTTTTTCATTTATTCAACCTCTAATCTTCTGCAGAATGGCACACTGAAGATCATCGACAGGAAGAAACACATTTTCAAATTGGCACAGGGCGAGTACATCTCCCCTGAGAAGATCGAGAACATCTACATTAGGAGCGAACCTGTGGCACAGCTCTATATTCATGGAGATAGCCTGCAGGTAAGAATACTTACACAAACACACCCATCAGTCCTATCCATCCTAATTCTTCGAATTCGCTGAATAACATGTATGGCTCCTGAGAGCCTGCAAGTACGTCTCTGCTCTGGTTCTTTTGCTCCATTTTTAAGCCAGGACAAATAGAGCACAACATCATCTATCAGGTGCTCATTTTCAGCTTAATTAGTACAATATCCTTTGACCTCTTCCTCCTATGTTTGTGTCTTCTCTTTCCAGTCCTGTTTGGTGGGGATTGTGGTTCCTGACCCAGAAGTCATGCCTGAATGGGCCAAGAAAAAAGGCATACTGGGCACATATAAGGACCTCTGTAAAAACACGGTAGGTGGCATGTTCCTTGAATGCTTCTAAGTTCTGTCGATAACTAAAATACTGAATAATACCATGGAAAATAACCTTCCACTTTGTCAACAGGAATTGAAGAAGGCGATCCTTGAGGACTTGGTGCGTCTGGGCAAGGCCAGTGGCCTCCATTCATTTGAGCAGGTAGGAAGGCAGATATATGTTTGGGTTGAAGGCAAAACAAAGAACATATTTGGCCTGCCTTTTTATTTTAGCAGTATTATTCTTTTTCTTAAAGCTACAGAATGATCATTTACACAATCCTTTACTACATGTATATGCCAGAAGTATTTCAAGTAGGATCTGTTTGGCATTGTTTTTATAAGATCCACGAGTAATACATTATTCATCAAATTGCTCCAGTTGAGCAACTCAACTCAGTAAACTAATATTTGTAAATCTTCATCCTTATGAATATTAAAGAGGGCGTTGCTAAAACCTTTTTAGTTTGGCAAGTACTTTTTCATTATATTAAAAAGGAAATAAATCAATATCACAGGTCTTCTGCTAAACTTGTGTTATCTATACAGCTCCTAAAAATAACAACCTCTCAACAATCTTGGTCTAATTATACACTTTCTTTCCTATTCCTTCACATTTTTCTTCGCAGGTGAAGAACATCTACATCAACAATGAGATGTTTTCCATTATGAACGGCCTCCTGACTCCCACACTAAAGGCCAAGAGACCAGAGCTGAAGGAGTATTTCAAGGAGAAGATCGACCGACTCTATGAAAGCATCTCCATGTGAAGGCCGGCAGACCTCATTTTCCTTCAAGCATCTTTACACTTAGTACTGCTTTCACCATTGACTTCAGTGGGATAAAGATGTGACCACTTATGCTTAAAAGCTATGGGAAAAGCAAGCCAAACCGGCCCCTGCTATGGAAGATTTAATGCCTAAAAACTCAAACAAATCCAAGACACAAAGAGAAATACAATATACTATATGTATTTCTGTTTTAATTAGGCATTTGCTGTGACATAACTACATGTACACATGTAAAATGAAAGAATAGCTGTTAATCTGTTAACTGAGTTCTTTATTCCTTGTGATAAAATGCAAACCACAAAACAGAAAGGGTTGTGTAATTCATTAAATACAAAGCACTTTGTTTGGTTTTCATGAGAATGTCCAACAGAGCTTTTTCTGTTTTGACAGGGAAACATGACACACATATGCATACAGAAAAAGGAAATGTAAATACAAATGTGATTTGTTAATCACTTTTTTTTATTTTAATGGTTTTGATTTAGGCATTTTAAATCTTCCATACTTTGTTTCTTGCTATCCACCCAAACAAACCATCAAAGGCTCTGTCCCCAGCAGCAGAAAACTCACCCTCACTTTTATGTTGAGCAATCCATTTCCACTTGTCACCCTGTCCAATCTATTTTTTTCCTCCATCAGTTTAAACCCACCAGCCACAACCTGAATCCAGTTATACGACAGCAAGCGTGATGTCTTTGTGTATAGTGTAGCTCAAGGAGATGTATTGCTGACACATGTGGGACAGTAATGGACTTCCTCCTCAGTGGGACACAGTAGATTTTCCTTGAATCGAACAAGCTGCTGACAGCAGTGCCGCTAAGCAGGGCCTGATACATTTCCCTTGATCTGGCACACTAAAAGAGATTCAACTTTTACCCAACACATTGCGCAATTTGACCAAAACTACACCTTAATGTTTAAGGGCAGAATTAAGAAAGCAAGGTATAGACAGTAGCAGCTCCTGCCTTACTAATCATTGCTGTCTACACCATTCCATTGTAGAGCATCTCGATGTTTGAGCCACATTCAAATACATCGCTGTTCATGTCATGTTCTCACTCACTCATTAAGTCACCTCAACATGGCTGTGATCTGCAGTTTAGCATGCATGCTCCTTGTTTATGTGAAGGACTGGCACACTGTAACACACATTACGGTTCACACTCTACAGTCTGTTCATTCACTCCTTTTTTAACATCCACCTTTGCGCAAATAGTATGTCAGGTAAAAGAACAAAAAAGAAATAATGCTAAACCAGGTCTCAGGGCAATGCATGCAGTTTGCCCTGCAATGCTGGCACCATTGACTTGAAACTGATGAGTATTTCTTTGTGGCCATTAATAGCAGGTTGTATGCAGCTGCCCACAGCCACTGCTGCTAGTGCAAGGCTTTGTAATGTAGGCAAAGCTGATGAATTCCACTCACTGGAGGAAAATAGAACAACCATCAACTTTTAATGAAAAATAAACACGTTTTTGAAGGGTTTACACATAGAAGTAATGTATAGACTTTTTAAGTTGATTACCGTCCCAAAGCATAAACAATGTGGATGTACATAAATGAGGACAGCTAGATGTAAGCATATTTATTAAATCAATGGTTTGAATGGATTTTTGTTCTCTCTTTTTGCGTGTAGTGAGATGAATTGTACTTATTTATTTATCTATTCTGCTGTAAAATGGAATCAGCACCATATCCTTGTAACGATTGAGTGCAGCAATAGGGATGAGGGTGGGTGGGGAATAGGACAAGGGCAATGAAATAAAAAAGATATTCTGGAATGATTTTAAACAAGTGTCTTGTTTCTTGTTTCATGGTGTCTTCAATTGTCATTGCATTACGTTTTATTTTGAAAGGTTTCCCTGGAGAGGCCAACATGAAAAGGAAAAGCTAGGTTATAGCCTATATCTGATATCACTGATGTCATGTAGTAAGACTTCCGTTGAATATTTTCAAAATAAAGTAGGCTAATTGTGTTCATGTTTGTAATTTAAAGGGGACCTATCATGCAAAATGCACTTTTGTACGTCTTTTATACATGAATATGTGTCCCCGGTGTTCCAGGGAACTCACCAAGTGTCAGAAAACACAACCCTCTCTATTTTCCTCCATACCCAAATCTCTAAAAAAAAGGGGCTGCAACGGATCTGATAAAAACTGATCCAGATTTGAACACTGTCCCGACGTCAGGACAGTGGCGCTACGGCTATTGGGCCAACTCCACCAATCAGGAGGAGACAGCCACGGCCATTGCCGTTCGAAAGCGCTGGAGACGCTGTAGTACATATGCCAGGCCTGTATATGGTGCTGTTCTGCCCTTATCTGCCCTTACAAACACAGAGCTAAAAAATTTCAAATTGAGCAAAATGAGGCATGGCTAAAATGCATGATCTGTTTGGTATTTTGCACAAAAAAAAGTATAAATATGCCTTATATAGGTATGGTCCTACACTATATTATTCAAATATAGCATGATAGGTCCACTTTAACGATTTGTTTTCACATTAAGATAGTGTGCGTTGGGGGGATTTAATAGAATCATCAGCTGATTGACTACAGGTGTTCTCGGTTGCTAAGCATCGCACAAAGAGCAGGGGAAAGTTTCAGTTAGCAATCCAGGAATACTTTTAACCGTAAGCTTTACGAAATTAAAAACTAATTTAGTTTATTGTATTAGCAACAGCTCATCTAACGTTGAGATAGTGTCAGATTTATACTGACAGATCATTGGATCGTAATTTGGACGACAATTTAGTTCGGAAATGGGTCGAGTGTGGCGTGACAAACCAGATACACCCGTGCGGAACAGACGAGAAAGTAAGAAATCTAACACATCATCTTAAACGTACTTTGTAATAGAGGTTTTAATTTAACTTCGCCATGGTATGCACAGGTTTGAACCACAACTTTAATATGCTATCGATCAGTTTAATTGGAAGCTCCTGTGACCAGCTGACTTATTTGGCAAGAAGCCTATTTAATTGTAATATAAAGATCAACATCAGTTTGATGCCTTTTATTTATGTCTTTCTTTTGAGTCGAACTAGGCCTACTTAAATCTGATTATATTCAACATGAAGACTTGAAGTCAATGCACTAGGAGAAATGTATAGTGGTGGATAGTAACAAAGTACAGTAGCCTACTGAAGTACAATTTTGAAGGATTTGTACTCTACCCGAGTATTCTCAGTTCATGCTACTTCAACTCCACTCCATTTTAGAAGCCAATATTATACTTTTTACGCAGGTAAATGAGCTACATCTAGCTGCTATCCCATTTTTAAAAACTTTCAGAGCGCACGAGACTTCTGCCAAACAAGAAATATGAAACTATTGCAGAGGAGCCTGGGGTGGAAGAGATGCATGTTCCCACTGTCAAACCAACCAAACGGGTACAGAATGGGGACATTCATTTTGCTGTAATATTTTTTAATTCAAGTTGAGAGTTTCTCAAACTTTCCCCCCACTTCTCCTAATTTTCCACTCTTATCCTTTCCACACACAGAAACACATTAAGACTGTCCAAAAGAAATCTGAGATACGCTTGAGCAGGCCTCCATCTACTGAAAACTCCAGCAACAAAACGCATGCCGTGCCAGCTTCTAGGAGATCTAGTTACAGAGTGTCAGCATCAGGTCACCAAACAATTCAAACCACTCCCAGGATAGAGGCCGCTAAAGGTGGTGACATGCTAGTTAACGATGAAGAGCAACAAATGACAGTAACATCTGAAAGTGTCACTCCTTTCATCTGTAACGATGATGAGGAAGAAGACTGCTATTCCTTTGCCTCATCTATCAGCAGTCTTCCTTCCCCGGAGATCTTTAGAAGAGAAAGATATGGTATGTGTGCATTTTTGTTGATCCACAAGCAAAATATAAGGTTATTCATTTTTATTTTATTTTTTCAACCTTCTTGTCACTTTTGTCTTCTTTTCCCAGTGGAGACATCAACTTTTCTTATTAAGGAGGAGCTTGGGCTTCATCTTAACATAAAAAACTCCACCTTGCTTAATGTGAGCAACGCTGAGACCATACACATGCATCAACCCATAAACCTTTCTAGCATCTTCGGTAATGGTTTGAAAAAACGTTTATTTTTCATTTAATTTGGTAGGATATTTAGTTATCGTAGTAAAAATGTTTGAAGTTTAGTGATTTAAAAAAGGGTTTATTAACTTATGATATTGATTGTCAGAATTTGATTGAGAATAAGATGGATTGAAATAAATACATATAGTGTATTTAAAAAAAAAATGTAAAGCTTAATGTTAGCTTGAAAATGCTTGGTCTTTTCACAGTTTTAAAAAATATTCTGTCTGCAGATGTCTCTGAGATTGTTGACGAAAAGAACTGTGAGATCAAGTGAGTTCCTTTCTTTTTTAAAGTTATACATTTTTAAGCAATTTTTTTTTTGTATTCCTACAATTAAATACATTGTCTGCTGATACTTTAGAATACTTGAAACTAACAAAGAAAGGTATCTGCATACTCAACATCCATGTAACCAAAACTTGATCAATCACTGTTTTTCTCTTTGAAGCCAACACGGAAGACCTGAAGCTGAGACCAGAAAACATGTGGACTCATTTAAATCAGGTTAAGACTCATTAAGTGAGACGTGTATCCTAATCAAACTATTTAATGTCATTATGCGCCAAATAATAAACTATATATTTTTTTAAATCCTCAATTTGTAGAGAAGGCCTTGGAGTTGAAAACCCCCCCAAAAGTAAGAAGTCACTTGGTTGTATCCTGTGTAATCAAAATCTGATATTCACAACCAATTTTTATAAATATGAAGTATTATGGTCATGGTAACGTATGATTCTTGCTCCTTTAGCTCACCAACAGAAGGACCATTTTATACAAGAAGAAGGTCTGGTTCAAAAGCCCCATCATTGTGGACACCTTGGAAGCAACATGCATCCCAGGCACCAAATTAACCATTTACTGCAACAATGAACCAGCCCACACATCAAGCCCTTCTGAGCAGATTCAGAATGACACAGTCACATCCTCAGCTAACATCAGTTCTAAAGAAAAAGCATTAAAGCTGAAGGTGAGGTCGAAAAGGCCTGCAAGCCGGGAATCAAAGTTCTTTGGCTTTATCGACGACAGTGACCGTGATGCATTCTTTGATAGAATGAGAATACGTTCTGCCAAACTCAAAAGTGCTCCTTTATTTCCTCTCACAGCTCCTCCAGAACCTTCTATTTTGTGACTTCTTAAGGCAAATGAATGTATGTTAAGATTTTGTCTTTTTCCCATAATCAAGATGTATAGAGGTCTGTATGTTAACTATCCTGTAAAAGAGTAATCTGATGTCAGTGTATGAGGCTGTCATAATGTCTCAAATGATAATTTAAATGTGATGCATTCTTTATTTAAAGAGAATAATTCAAAAGGCATGCCATACCCTGCCATGTATTTAAGTCCCTGCACATCATATATTTTGAGTGTGACTTTTCAACTTTCCTTTCTTCTCAACCTTGTCCTTTTATTACCTTGTTACTGTATCCTACAAACCTTGACATGTACCTCTGCTTACCTTTTGTATTCTACAGTTGTCAGACAAGTGTCTGTGCAAAGTGACCACTAGATGTCAGACCTGTATTTTTTTTACTGCGCCTTTTCACCTCTCCTGTTAGTGATTGTTTTACAATTTAAAATATATATGTTTGTGTTGCATTTTTGTGTTATTAATTATTGTTATTAAAGTGCCATAATTGCATACAAATCAAAAATTGTAATGTAAACAAAAAGCTTAAATGTAAGTTAATTTGACTTTTTGGTCGTCTATATTTTCAAGGACTCCCTGCTAATGTAGGCCTACTAATTTCCGATCGTCCAAAAAAGTCAAAACTAAATGAATGTACAATAAAATAATAAATGGTAATGATTCTTGTTGGATACCCTTTGTTTGTTGAACACAATCCTTGCCTTTCCATTTCACTTTTTCTCATGTGACACTTTAAAATATCTTATCTATCTCTTGTAAGCATCTCAGAAGTCGCACTTGTATTATTTTTGTGAATACATGCACGCTGTCACGATTCCCGACAAAACATCAACACAGCGAATCCACTGACCACGTGGTACCGGGATAAAAATAGCAGCCAATCAGGTAATTTGTTGTAGCAGCAACGTCCAGTCAGCCAATCGAAAAAATGCAGTTGGTTACCAAGCAGCTCCCGTGACTAATGCCTGTCATATGACTGTGACACCCATGGAGACAGTTACAAGGAACAAGATTTGCTCTCGGATTTGAAAAGAAAAGAGACTTTCTGTACCGAATTAATTTTGGTACAAAATGCCTCCGACTCTCTTCCAGAAACTTTTCAACAAGAAAAATGCGTTTTCGTCGCCGCCCCCGAGATGCAACAAAGATGACCCAGCTTTCAGGTAACGTTAGCTATTTTGTTTGTGTGTGCATGTTTTGTGTGTGTGTAATGTTGTACATTTATTAATTACTTTCACCGAGTCCTGAAGCATGACACAGTTTTTGGCGTAGTGTATATGTTGTTTTCACTGGCACTTTACAACGTTGTTTGGTATTGTTTATTTTAATTTGATATGAAAGTGCGGTGACTGGAGACGTGTTGTGCCTGTTGGTCGGTTAGCTAACATGCTAATGCTAGCTACCATCCGTTAGCGGGGGCTGCTGCTGCATGTGCTGTCTCCTGATGGGACCGCTTGAATCAATAGCTCTTATTTGTCGCGTGTTTTATATAAGTATTACAGCTCGTATGCAGTTGTTAATTAAGTGACAATAAGTCCACGATACACGTTTCCTCCCATCCTGAGGTGTGGTATAACCAGCGGATCGATATTCTTGCTTAGAAGTTGCAGAGGAACCTTTTCCCTTTGTGTCCCCCTTTGTGTTGCTTTGGTTACGGTTATTTAAGCCTGTGTGGTAAGAACAACAACGAGGCACTAGAGACGGTTGCAGTCGCGCTCTTCTGTCGCCAATCGTGGGCTATACCATCGATGACTTGGAGCAAAGTACAGCTGGCTTCTCTCAGTCCTGCGATGGTACTGTACTCTTCTCCACTGCCGTCAGACAGAGGTGGAGGAGGACGCAGTGTGCTCTGTGTTGGAGCACATGTGATCAGTCCAGTCGGTAACTGACAGACAGAACCACAGCAGACCAGTAGACACTGCAGTCTGGAGACGTCAACTTTTTCTGATAATCATTTGTGCTCTAAATGGCAGATATGGATGTTGTTTATTTTGTGTTTATCTATATGTCTTGTGTTTAGTTAACACAAGTGATATGTGGCATGCACGAATTTATAGATGTCGTGATTTAACAGTCTATGGTGTAAACTACATACATATATGTACATGTCAAAATTATAGCAGTCATGTTCATAAAAACAATCAAGATATAAATAAAATCCTGATTGTATTACTCAACTCAACTCGTCTGACGATGCCGTTAATAACTGCAATATATACCTGGCTGCTATATCTTCAAATCTGTTACAGGATGTGTACTTTGTAAATGATGTAATTAAAAAAAAAAAAAAAAAAAAAAAAAAAATCGTTATCTTTAATCTTTTTGTATGCATACTTCTTAGTTAATATTAAGCTGGCTTTGGCTCTTTTTCTTGCCGTAACAAATGCAAATGTCCCCTCTGTGGGACGAATAAAGGTATTCTGATTCTAAATCAGATGGGACATTAATTGATTCAAATGTGGACTAAAACAAGACTTCTATGTCATGCCAGCTTGAACGAAAAATGCAAATGCATCATTTGTGGCAATATTTTCTCCCTTCAAATTGCAGTGACATACTTTTTGTTTAGATACTTACTGGTATTGTCCATCAGTAGCAGGGTTAAGCTGCTTTTAAAATGGAGTCAATCAAATGCAAGGGGAATCATCACAAAAATAATAAGACCACCATGCAGGTATGACATGTATTGTCAGCAATATAAATACTTGCTATTGAAATACCCTAAGGCACAATTTGATCTGACTGAGCAAGGCATCCTTAAGCTGACTATTAGGATACTCTATACTCCCTGAGTTGATTTACAGTTTCCCTGTGTATGTTCCTCCACACTCTCTGGGTCAGGGTCAAATCTGTCACTGGCACCATGGGGAAAGGGCTCTTTTTAGTTTTAAATACATTTGAACTGGGAATTATTGCTCACGGCCGGCCACCCATTGAAGGACCTGAAAGCTCACATGCTTGTGGTGTTACTTTCACTTTGGCCGGTGTCTTTGTCAGCGCATGTATGGCCATAAAGTTGCTCTGTGCCCATGTGTTATTAATGCTGTTTGTGTATGGTTAGCTCGCTTCAATCGTAGACCAAAGAGGCAGACAGCAGGCATTTCTGTTAACTCGGTGGTCAGCTGTGCTCTTCATACCTCTGGCAATGCTTCCCCATTCATCAGGCATGAATTGCTTTGGAGAGGGAGGCACTGTGAGTAGACAAAGGCAAGAAGAAGGAGTGATGGATGGATAGATATGACACTTGGGTGGTAGCAGGATTAGCCCAGAAAGGGCCAGTATTATAGGCTTACTGTTCTCGTTTAGCTACAATAGATTGCAGACGCTTTTGGTATTTTGGTATGATGAAACTAATAACCTTAAATAAATCAGGGGATCACTAATTTGTGCAGCACACTCATTTCTTTGTAAGCCTTTGCAGCCCCTGAGCTCCGGGAGTAGTATAATAGTTGTTGAGTGCATTCTCTATTTGCTATGAAAATTACACACAGATTTGTTATTGGTCTTGCTTTATTTTTTAACATCAATATATTGGCTGTTGGTTTTGTGCGCTATTAAACTGTCAGATGTTTTACTGGCTTCTGCATTAGCAAAATCCTTGCAGAAGATGAAAACATGAATACATAAATAAATAAGGTTTTGCAGTATTGTTGTTGCCCTACATTATAAATCACTCAAAGCTGTGTGACAGGCTCACCATGCCCTGCAGAATACCACAGGGGGCAGCATGTGGGCTGACCCGAGGGAAAAGCCTCTCTGGTTTCCCTGGCTGCAGCACCTGACTAGGGACAGCATACTGTACATTACACTTAGAGCTCCCTGCTCATCCTGTAGCCAGTCAGAGGCCTGATCACTAGCCAATAGCTTTGTCCTCCCCACCCACAGCCAGACTGCTTTTCCTGGCTGCCCCCTGCCACCCGCTGCCTGCTGAGAAAACTTCCTTGTTGACCCATGCAACTCAATATAGCTGCGTTTGTGCTGAGATACAGAACATAGGGGGTGTTTCTCAATGTCGAGGACGCTTCCTTGGTAGGACATGTCTTCCGAGTCAGGTCCTTCAGAAGCGAGGCAAGAATCCTTCCTAGCCTCGAAAAACGAAGAATGGTGGAACAGGCTAACAGGTGTGCAGGTGTTAGTGCAATGTATGGCTCACCAACTTTAAATGTTAACACAGAGAGAGAGATCAATAAAACACAAACACAGATATGGTTGAGATTCATTATTATTCAGTTGCACAACAACAACATTAATAATAATTTGGAGTACATCACCTTCTGCCACAGCAGCCAATCGTGGAAATGCCCCACAGACTAGAAAGATCTCGTGTGCTTTATACACGTAAAACACACACGAACATACACTTGAAACATACGTGGCAGAGATAGTTGATATGTTAATATGTTCCAGCAGTGGAAAGGTCATTATCTCATGACGTCTTTAGGAGTCTTTAGGAGTCTTGCAGGATATGAATTATCCAATTAACAAATACTATACGTTTGCACATGACCGCATACACAATTTTCCTTACATTAACCAACACACAAACCTCAATGTTTTCTCTCTAACTGTATTATAATCTAATAAAGATCTCTTTGGTCTTCCGCTGACCTTGGTAATTTACTTATGTGGGTACATCTGCTGGTAATTGCGGAAGAGGCAATGGAGCCTCTCTGACCTGTGTGACCTTCATGAATAAGCGAGAAACACGCTGTAATAGAGAATCTGCCATAACACAGGTGTGCGTCATATGCGAGGCCCCGCCTTAAATGGAGTGCGATTTTCGCCAAAGATTTGGGAAATTGGTCCGTGCGCAAAGCATTGTGGGGATTTTAAGACCGCGGAGGAGACGCATGTGCAGCCTCGAAATTTCCCGCAATGAAGGACGCCGGCCTCGGTAGAATTCCAAGGATCCTGGACATTGGAACAGTCCTTCGGCGGGACTCGATGACGTAGCATCCTTGAAATAGTGGCTCTGGAGGAGCCTTCCTCGACATTGAGAAACACCCAGGGAATGCAGTTTGGCTAATCCAAAGAGAGGCTGGGATGCTTGTGGGTGGCTAGCCTTTTTGTTTTCACAGACTATTTTGTAAGACCTCAAAACCCAAGTCATATGAGTTTTGAGGTTAAAGAGTTGTCTGAAAGCACAAGTGTCTTCCTGAGGTTGAATGAGCATAGCCTGATGAACTTGTACTGAATATATCAACCATATCATTGTGAGGAAAACAATTGACTTTGCTGTTTATTGTCCATTTCTGAAGATTGGATCACTGACACTTTTAATAGAGACACTAGAATAAAAAGTATTTTTATAATCAAGCTCAAAGCTTTTACCACATTCAGATTTGTTGCACACATTGCAAATTAAAGTTGGTATGAAACAGGCATAAGTCTGGAATAAAACGTTGTGCTTTTCATATCGCAGAATCCTCCTTCCTTTCTGAAAATGCATGATTTTGCACAAGGCAATACAAAATGATACACCACATCAGACTGATGCATAGTAATTCCCTTTGCCTTAATTCAAAGGGGAAATAGAGTTTCAGGTTCCTGAGTGGCGTGGTGTCCTTCCT